AGTGCGTGTGGAGGGGGAAGACTGTGGACGTGGACGTGGATGCGGATGTGGAGAGGTGGGTGGGTGGGTGGGGGGGGTTGAGGACAGGTTAAAGTGAACATGAATGGAAGTGAGATTGTTGGTAGAGCAATCGGTGGTGTGTGTATTATGGGGGAGAGGGTGAGGGTCATTGTTAGTCAATGCACTGAGAGACTTATTTGCATGTCCTAAAGAAAATTGAGCTGATTGTGGCGAATTACGATTATTGCAGTGGTGGGAAGGAAATGTTAAAGGAATTGGAGTTGGTGTCGGATCGACATCTCCGTTTGCATAAAATGCATCCTGACATTTTAACCACAAATTTAATCCTTTTACTTTAATGGTCGGACGTTTACCTTTGAAAATAATTCTCCCATCTTAAATTGCTTCGTTTTTTTGCGATAGAGAGCCAATTTTTCGACTTTAATGGCACTTATCCTCCACCATCTTTACAGTCCCACCAACCCTTCGCCACTCTCTTTCAAGGTCACCGATGCGATCACTGAGTGACTACCACCTTCCATATCCTCTCATCTCGCTGATGCTGTTGACGAAATTCATTCTCGTCAATTTTAACACTCACCAAAGCCGTTCACTCTGACTGACTGCGTTCCATTTGTCTGATCTTTCCTTTTCGTTTGTAACTATCGGCGAAGATTGAATTCACCTCAAACTTCTTCCAGCCTCGTTAATTATTACAATGCCACTTCCTCTAGAGAAAAGTGGACGTAAGTCAGTGCGTCTAGGCACTCATGACAAGTCTGTCTTGACGGCTAATCGGTTTTATTGCTTGGTTAGTAAGGCAGGCAAATTTTTTGTGCCTCGACACTTTCCTTCTCATGATTTGACTTCTCCTGCCATCCTGGGTGGTAACTCTGCCAGAATGCACGCTTTGTAACTCCAAAAAGAGATACTCCTCTCAAAAGCTACTCAAGCGCCATCAACTCTGTCAAAAATAGATTAAACGAGTCTCCATGTCGCATACTACTTATAACCCAGTAAGTAGCAGCCTTTCCTTTTAAATAAAGAAATCGATTACTTTATACAATTCCACTAGTCCTCAATACTATTAATGCCCCTAAAGTTAAACTGTATCAAGGAGATAAAGTGAGACCTCTTGTTATGCAATTAGAGAGGTACCCTCGTGGCTCACCACAAGCCAACTTCCTTGAAATGACTGCTTTGATGCATGGAATAGACGAGTTCGCCCCTTTCGTAGATTAATATTCCCAAAGACCTCTCCACGACTCTCCTTTCATCATAATTAGGCTCCTGACCTCGTAATGCTTTGGTACAACCTCCATCCATCCACAGCATCCAACTCGAGCAACAGAAGCTCCCACAACTCTGCCTTCCTCCTCCATTTTCCCATTTTAACAAGGTTGCGAACCCACTTAGAGCGTGTGTAATAACAACTTAAGGAGGCAATCATCGTAAAAAAACCTTCCATAGTTAGTAGTGTCTAGACATTGAAGCAATTGAAACTTTCTACAGCCTTTTTTTATATCACCATTCAATTCCTTGTCTAGACTGCGGTACCATTTGAAGTGCTCGACTTCGAGTTATGACTCCGGTGATTACCTTTTGAGCCAAAGCAGTGAAAACTCAAATTTCTGTATCGGTTATAAAAGTTGCCCTGGCAGACTTGAAGAGGGTTGAAGTGGAGCACCTAGTCAAGTCATGACAACTCTGTCAATCCTTTATTTTTTTCACCTAGAAAACCACAAGTTGAATGAACTTTGGTCTATAAATCTTTCTCGCCATAAATGTGATAAACAAAGGCATCCATCAGTTTGTCGGCCTCTCCAGTCATCTGGAGTTCATTCAATAGAGGCACGCCCCTCATTCGCGGTGCTCTACGGCATTTGTTGGACCTTCCTCCACAGATTGTACTACAACAGCAGTGTGTTGTTGGGTGTTCCGATTTTCGGTGTCACTACACCGCTGAACCCGTCCACTTTCGCCACCTTTGTGACGTCTCAGCACTGTTATTTGTACAACACCACGACGACAACGTTTCAACAATCGAGTGTGGTGCATAATTAGATTGTTGTAAAGTGCCTAAAATGAGCAAAAATTTGCGGAGACAAATTTGTGAAATGACCTCCTTTCGAGGCTAATGAGAGGGGCAAAATTTAGCAACTAAATTGCCAGCCATCCATCCACCTATCCATTCATCCATCATTTTCACCCTATTTTCGCCCAAATAAGTCCCTCGAAAGGTGGAATGCGGAACAAAAAAAAAAAAAAAAGAGAAGAAAGAACGAAAAGCCATTACTAAGAAGAGTTTACTTAAAAATAACAGCAAAATTTTGCCAACAGATAAAGCTGGAAGCCAAAAAGGTCAGTACGCTTACCATTTCACTTCGAAAGAAGCGCCAACAGTGCCTACGACTGCCCTCGGTGCGACTGCAAGGCGATAAACCAGTCTTTTGACCTGCCTACTGGATCACGTCCAGGCATTTGCCCTTAGTCATCAAAATTTTCGCCTCTTTGTAGCTCCTGCGAGTTGGAGAGACGTACGGAGACCTCAAGGTTGCGATTGTAGGGCCAATTCAACACTCTCCAAGGCGGCTATTTTGAGGAATCCGAACTACAACAGTCCACATTTACCATCTGGACGTTAGACGCGATAGATTCTCCATCCAGACGTCTAGACGCCCTATCAACTAGACAACGCACACACACACATGCGACAGATACTACTACATTTACTTGGCGTGGCGTTTAGTAATGAAACCGCAATTTAGAACCCATAAATACCAAAATACAACACTCCTTTTACAATCACCCTCTCACACTCCCCTAGCTGCAGCCTTGTGCCCCTTCGTCTGTTCCCTCTCCATAAGTATCACCACGCCAGTGTCTGATTTGAGCCAGAAGTACGGCACACTTTATGGCTCCTTTGTGGGAAGGCAAATATACGCCCAGTGTTGAAAGTGTGCCACGGAGAGGCATTGCAACGCCTACAATGCGGCATTCCAGGTTATTTCAGGATGCGTTTACTGATCTACATACACATACATAGCGATCGCACCATCACCACAACGGTTAAAGGTGGTACTGCCTTCCTCTTGATCTACCCTCCGGAATGAGCATTCAGTTGTTGAAAAAAAAATTGCAAAACTTTTAGTACTCTTACCTAGCGCAACCCGACTTTTAGCACGTGTATCAGTTGCAAAGGCACACAAGATGAACTGCCCCGAAGTGTTTACCTTTTGGGCTTCTCAACTGTCCTTTTACCTCCTTCATTTGGGTAAATAAGAGTTTAAGTAAACACAGTACTTTGTCTCTTATTCCTTCCAAACAACGCAGTTATTAACATGTATCTTTTGGCTGGAAAAAGAAAACTACCTTAACTGCATCTAAGAGGAACCTACTTATTAACATAATCAGTAGTAGTTGGAGAGTGTGGATGCCTGTTAAAGAGGACATGAGGAAAAAGAAGGGGTAAAGATTGACAGCAACAACTGTAAGACGCAGTTGTGACTTCTCAGCTCTCCAGAGTTGTGAAGACGGCAATGCCAATTGGGTGTGGCAATCACTTAGGCTCGAAAAGGAAGGCGGCGGCAGCGGCGGCGGCAAAGGAGGAGGGAGAAGAAACAAGACCCGACTGCCTGTCTGAACCCATTTGTACTTTTACTGCTGAGGCGCAGCACCAGTGCAGAACCACATCAAACTGTGGAGACCGAATTTGCAAAATTATTTCAGCATTCGCCTGAATGCTCACCCACTCGTGGCCATAAGTTTAACAGAGCACCAGCATTGACTCATAAAAATAGTGTTTTGTACACATGAGTCTCGAATCATGCCCGCTTGTGGGGCGAATGTCCACGAAGAAATGCAATTTAGGATCCCACGACCGAATATTCCGCTGTTACCTGACCAATATGCGCTGCCTATGCATTACAGGGCTACGTAAAGGAACGCATCAGCAGACACCCCTAAGCAGTTGACTCATTAATCTTTCTCCCTACACCACTGCCCAGGCCATTATACGTCACAAGCGAGCAATCAGCCAATCCCTTTCAACGTCGTGGATTATAACAGCCCCAATTCCACCATCCGACAGGTTCAACTGTCATTTGGTGGCAACAGGGAGTAGAAGTAGGCGGACAAGCGCTTAGAAGCCACTTTGGCAACTTAAAACGCATAAAAAGTAGTAAAATCAAATGACCCAGGAACGGAGACAACAGCCGAACCCAAACCACTTAAAGTAAAGTCACGCAACATGAGCTCCATTCACTACATCAAAGAATACAAAAAGAGAGAAGAGAAAGAACAATGCGAAGGATAAAGAAGCAAACAAGCAACTCAGCGTCCATCGCTCTCAGTGCCATAGTAGCCCGATCGACCAGTAGACGACCAAGGTTTCGCAATAGTGCGTCTTTCGGTAGAGTAGGGCGAGGACCTTTCACCACTTCCACTGCTATGGGTAAGGGAGACTGAGCCTGGAACCCTCAAATCACTCGAAGAGGCAAGGGAGGAGGATCCATTGGAGCTACGACGTCGACGTTGCAGCGGCAATGAGTCTAGATTTTGTCCCGGGGCTGGAGTCGCACCGATACGCGCCAGATGGCATTTTAAGCACAAGAGATGAGTGCGTCCGGGCGTCCCACCTTCTCCAGTCTCCACGTAGGGATAACAACGCGAGGAAACCTCGTCAGAGAGCAATATGTCACAGTCCTACCGACAAAGTGGGAAACAACGATAATTCAACCCAAGCCTACAAGTTCTTTGAAGGCAATCAAACAACTGTCGGTTGTAGAACAGAACTCATGCGAGACTATTTGGATGGTGAGGAACAGCAAACCATGAGGAGAATGTGAAATAATGAAAGTGGATTTGTGGTCCTGACAGCTTCACCGGTCTATGGATAAATCATGGTAGTGGGATGACTTGAGTACAGATCAAACTTTTGACAAGTAAATGATCCTACTAAATAAATTTAAGTAGATAATAATGGACATCAGGTAGCAAAAATTGTACCTGAGCAAATTTAATTCACCCTTAATTAAAAAAACCCACCCATAAATTATTTTACCCAAAATCACTTAACATGAACAACAAGCTTGGTTATCTAAAAAGCCAAAAGTTGTTGTCACTAAAGTGGAATGAAGAAGTGAAGTTGTTTAATTTCCGTTTATACCCACCTCGCAGCGATAACAATCGATGTGGAACTCTTTGTTCATTGCGACTACACGAAGCACTTCGTCAGCGGTCTACAAGACACAACAAGTAGACGTATTTGGTTGTTGTCTCATGGATGGATCAGCACAAAGGTGGAAGGACAGGTCCACAAAAGAAGGGACATATGGAATGTCCGATTGAACATGAGGAAAGGAAAAGCACACACCGAATCAGGGAGGATGGGATTGGCGCAGGCAGCGCAGGTAGGTGCCGTTGCAAGGTAATAGTCGTAGAGACAGAAAATATGTCCCTCCTGGTCCACGGTGAAGGGCTGCTTTTCCATACAATTGTTGCAGATGGTGCAACGAAAGCAGCCCGGGTGGTAGGACTTGCCCATCGCGCGCACGATCTATCCAAAGAGATGACTCGTGCAACTACTACTTAATATGTAATTAAGTAGATACATCAATACGCATGTTTTTTTGGAATGTAATATTTGGTTGAACCTAAGGCCACCGTATAAACTTCGTCGCCATTTCATGGTTCATTACAGTTTGTGGGAGCATTTCCTGATGTACGGGGCAAAGTTTGAAAGGGACTGCATGCAGGCAACACACCCTTTTAAATGAGTTAATTGGGTGGACCTCAGTGACCTGACCGGGAACAGAAGGCAAATAAAGGGATCCAACACCATGGAATAACATCAACTTTTCAGCAAGCACTAAGATTCTTTTAACAACTAATTAAGCCGGATCTTTCGAAACCGTGAGTTTTCTCCCGTGCAATGTTGGATGATGAAGACAAGGAGAGCTACTGACAAATGAAGAAGGATTTGGAGTGCCGTAGGTCCATGTGAGGTTCAAGTGGCACGTAAAAGAAAAAGCATTTTATAGATAAACTAATATATCAAACGCGCAAACAAAATTTCCGGAGGTGACGATGCTAATGACAGTGGAGATTTATAAATACCATCCAACTTAATTGAGGCATGAATTCTGCTCAAGACTAGCAAACATCACCAGTACAACAAGGAATTTTATTATTTGTTTGCAGGCAAATGGAAGCAACCAAATACCAAAGAAATAGCTGAAATTTGAAAGAGACATTGATACTACTGAAATAAAGTAGGTAGCGACTTACGGTTGGAGCAATGATATGATCACAGACAGTGCATTTTTCAGCCATTTGCTGAAATCCCCAGTACTGCAAGGTTGGAGGAAAAAGAGGACGTCAAAAGATTAGCAGTGATGGTCAAGTGGCATAAAGGTAGGAAAGGAGGCGACTGACAAGGTAGTCTTCTTCGCAGTAGATTTTATCCTGGTCCTTGTAAAAGGTCTTCCCACGTAGAGTTCGTTCTAGGGTATTGCAAAATAGAGTATGACAAGACCCGCACTCGATGAAACCATCATCAAGATGAACAATTGCTGGTATGACATATGGCAAAGTGGTACTGTCGAAGGTAACCATTGACCATGAGTTGAACGTTTAATTTGGCTAGTCTTAAGCAATATGTTGTCTAGTGCCACATCCTGGCACAAAGGATCTTGTGTTGTGAGCTAAACGTTGACACAAATTGTCATGACGAATAGACATCGCAAAAACGCAACGATATTCTTTGCATAGGAAAACTGGCCAAGGCGGGAGGAGGAGGGCTTCCATGATAAAAAAACTCTGTTCACATACGTAGCCTTGCTTTTGGTTTATGCATGTCAAATTCAAATAATTAATGATAAGTTATGTCTCCTCGCCCCTCCCTACGTCAAACTTAGAGGACTAGACTGGCAGTAAATTAATCCACAACAGAGGCAGCATTAGCAAGAACAACCAATGAGGGTGCAAGCAATGGAAAGGTCGACTTCGTCATGCGCGTTGGGACCCAACATTCAATGCATTTAGGGTTGCATTCTTTCGCAATCACTATCCAGAATGGCACCTAACTGCGTCTGTTGAAATGGCAAGCATTGTTGTTGTGTGACAGGAGAAGAAAAACAGATGGAATTCGATGTACAGCTATTGCGCTAACCTCGGGGAGAAGGCAAGAATGCAAGTGTATACAAGCGTAGTCCAGTCAAACCTTTCAAGAAAGGTGGGGGGAGGAGTGAGGAAGGCTAATGGACAAATGGTGTGTTGATTAGTGCATTTACTTGACCACTATTTTTAAAATTCAATGACATACGATTTGACATTCATAAATACTAATAAAGAGAAGGGGAGTGGAGAAAGAGGGTGCAAGTAACCAGGCGCATGGTGGCGAATAAAGCGCCATTGAATGAATATTTCTAGACAAAGTGCAAGTATGTCCACATAGCCTGGCATTCCTACATGTGAGCGTGCGTGTGTGTGTGCCATGAAACACAAACGCATTCCAAAGGACTGCAGACGTGCACACAACAAATTGATGCAAGCAAAACAAGGTGAAGAAAGGGAGCCACATTTGAAAGCGTACAGCGAGAGGCTGTAAATTTAACCTATGTGCAAAAGGTCTATTCAAGAAAAGCATGGTTTATCGACATACTGCGAAGTTTAGGAGAGCGGGAGTGAGAGGGAGAGAGAACTTACGACAAATGCAACAGTCGAAGCACTTGTCATGGTAGAAGCATCCCATAGCCTGACACGCCGTTGCTACATTGGTGATGCGAGCGTTACACTTTGAACATATGCCTAGAGTTGGACAAGAAGAAGAGGAAGTAGAAGGATTAGATGAGGGTGTAATGCCGCCAGATGAGGCGCGACGCAGAACCACAGGATGGCGATGTAGAACGTCAGTGGAGGAGGGTGAAAAAAGACATCGTTCAGACGATAGCATTGCCCGTCACCTAGCCTTGCCTCTGTCACAATCTGAATAGTAAATACAATCACACACACACACACACCACTGGCGCCTGCCTACGATGCCTTCTGCTAGCACACACGCACGTATGCGAAAACGAAAGAACAAGGAGGATTCTTAATGGCTAAGGAAGGTGTGCGACCTTGCCATTCTGACCAATAGGAATGAGGACAGAGTGAAATGGTGGTGCGAAGCAATGCCCCATAGAGGAAGCAAGTCCTTAGCGTAGTAGAACGCCATTTGTTGTGGGCGTACTTCTAAAATAGCCATGCACCTCAGTCACATGGGTGACAACCATGGGCACTGAGGTCAGTGCACGTTGATGATTTTGATCCCTTCCACGACGCCAGTGAACTCGCCAGCCACAAAAAAAGAGGGATGAGTCACAAATGACGATGTAAAATGGTTTTGTTTCTACATTCCTAATTGTTAATGGGTGGTGATTAGTCTAGTCCAATCCAGACAACAGTGGTATTGCATCTCTGTGGGTGCGATAGCGATTGGTGGTTGCATCAAACCAAAGAAGGCATGAAAGGCAAATCCACGACTAGCTGGTCGGATTTTTAGGACTTCACACCCGCCTGCACACATAAATTTTGACACTCAGAATGAGGTGAAGCCAGTGAAACCAACAGACCGATGAAAACGCAACCCTTTGTTGGCAGGAGAAGTGTTTCTTTGACAACACGTCCTATTAATAAGCAGCTTCAATTAGACCAGCGTACTGGGTGCTTCGACAAGGTTGTAACTTTCTTGGAATGAGTTGATTGCACTGCCAAATCCCACGCCACTGGAGATGAGCGTGGAAGTTTACACATTGTCATCGTGATGATGACAGCCTCTTCGAGGAGGGCAAGGAGCACCACAGAGGCACAATTTGAGACTCACCGGGCATCCATTCAGTGGGAATTGCATTAACAATCGATACAGTAGAACTGGAAGAATTCACTGGTGGTGGTGGAGGAGTGGAGACACGTTGAACTACGTGATGTCGAGGCTGCTCAAGCGTAAAGCCGCAACTTCCATCACTTGCAGGGGGTGGAGAGAAGGTGATGTTGAGGGCAGTGGAGACTCGATGGCCTGAGGGATCGGGAGAGGGCGACTTGCTAGTAGGCGAGAGGAGGGATGTGAGGCTGGAACGACTCGAGACAGCAGGCGGTGCGGCAATTATTGTGTGCTTTGAGGCATACGGTGGTGGTGGGGGTGGTGATGTGGATTGCATGCCTGGGCTGCAATGAAAGGAAGGCAAAACACTTTGCAATGTCACTGTATTGTGTATTTGGGAGCAGTGCATATAAAAGTACTTTGAGAGAGTGAGGATTGAGAAGCCGGATAGCCTTACAGCGCTAGTGTTAAAGTTGGCATTTCTGAGTGAAGCCGAATTCACCACTCAATTTTACCTTTTCTTCTGTCCAAGGGGTGAAATTCACCCTCCTTGTCGTAAATAACATCGGAAAGGATAAGAAAAACAAGAGAAATGCCACTAGACACACATCCTCCTAACAGTACGCCCAGAAAACTTTATTGTCACATCAAGGAGGCCAATAGAGAGGTTACACTAGTTCTAGCAACTACGATGTTGACCTTTTGATTAAGTGGCGGTTAACCGGGCATTGCACCATCGCTCAAATAAGAATGCAAGACAAGAAAACCGGTGCGAGCAGAAGAAGCATGATGGAAGAGTTGCCCTTTCTGACACGTAGTTCCTGCTTTACTGTACTTCATAGTCGTCTCACAATTACTTTCTCATGAGAGAATAGTAGCACACAGGAATCGTGAGACCAAAAAAAAAAGAACATACACACAATGAAACCATTTCATAGTGCTCTGGGAAGTCCCAGCTTTACTCCACACCCGCACAGCATAAACACCTGCAATTGAATTCCAAGAGTTTCTGTGTTCATCACTTCAACCCAAGTCCAACGTTTGTCGCATGTGTGTGCAAGCTCCGACCCGAAAGAAGAGTGGCATTTCGTCATATCTTAATACACCCAGGAAAGGTGATCTCCAGCGGCGATGTAGCTTCTGATGCAAATCTGTGAAGGGTTGAAAGATCTCAAAACGATCCTACGAATTGACAGATGCAGTAGGTTTCACACACATCCACCTAGGACTACGAAGAAAGAAAGGGGAGTGATGGTACCGACTGATGTAAGCATGAGCAAGGCATCGTGCTGCAAGGCTTTCAATTTCAGCAATTGTTTTCATAGAGGACGCCGGTGCAAACTGTAAGACATTTGTGCTGTAAGCGGCTTTGCGCCATTGAAGAGCGACGGATAAAACCCTTTAAGGTCACGCCCCCTGAGTATAAAACACAATCAACAGGTAAAGGCAGTTGTGCGTATCCAGAGCCCGCAAACTGGTTACCACCATAACCAAACGATGGGCAAGCCTTAAAGTGGACGCACCGTAAGACCTGAAAGCCTGCATCAGCAAACAAGACGTAGCTCCAAAGAAATTTACCTCTGCCAAGTAGTTTAAGGTCAAGCAATCCAGGCCAAAGTCTCAGTCCCCTCCATTCCTTCTTCGTCTGATACCCTGGACAAGCCAGTTCCCTCCAACTTGACAGGCAATAAAGCGTTTGTCCAATGCCGACGAGAGGTGGCGACAACCATCACTTGGAGCACATGATACAAACGGAAACCAATTTAAAATCATAACGACAGAACAGAAGAGGAAGCACTCTGCTTAGGCACCCTCGGGTAGTGCTGTACTGAGAGTCCTCTGCACGCAAACAACACATAGTAAACATCTGCATCTGCAAGGTGAAGTAGCGCCTGCCTTAAATGCGCCTGAAAGTGGGTAGATGGTTTGGGTTTAACCAATGACACGTTCCTTCGCATAGAGCTGAAAGGTAAGTCACTTTATTCGAACTCAGTCTCGAAAGCAGGCAAGGCTAGATCGCAAATACTAGTGGTCGAAATTTGATGGGATGAAGATTAAAAATGGAAGAAAAGTGGAACAACTAAACAGAGCTGCCAAAATAATTAAAATAATAGAGGGAATATCCTTGACAAAAGACATATAGGTTCTTTAACGGGAAGGCAAAGCAAGGAGAGTGGAATACATGTTAAAATTGCCCAATTATATGATGAAAAATTTTAGTCGTCTACTCAACTGACATAACCGATTTGTTTACCATCTGGGAACGTACGGAGACATAAAGACAAAATTATAGCAAGACCTCATCATTTCAAGCATGCCGAAATGACCAAGCGTATTTAAGGAACATCAATTCACCCCAACTGGCATGAACAACGAGTAAGATATCAGAAAGCGGGCATTCCGAGGTACTAGAAAGTAAGTAAGAATTCACGCGAACGGCATGAGGTCGTGAGTTGGAGAAGTGCTGAAGAAGAACATATGCGAGTGCGTGCGTCCCCGCGTGAGAAAATATCTCGACGCATTGAGCGCGTGCAGTTGTGCACGCAAAAAACCAAACCAATAACAACGCAATTTATGGCGCTTGCTTGTATAGAGGATATTAATTCCGTCAATTGCATCACAACATTCCAAAGGAGTGTTATCGAAATTAGAGGATTTTAAGCCTGCTTAACCATACTAAAATAAATGCCCTTAATTAGAGAGCAAAGATTTGCGTTTAAAAAGAGGAGGAAAAATGTGAGATAAAAAACAGCGTCAAAAAGACCCTTCTACAAATTCTTTTTAAATATTCCGTCGTAGATTGATACAAAAACTGATAAATAGGTATGACTACAAAGAAAAATTAAGTGCAATGTATGCAACGGCGATAAATAAAAGCAAAGGCAAAAAACGGTAAGAAGGCGGCAATTTATTGACGACAAAAGCACTAAAAATATGGAAGAATAAATAAAAAAGAGAACGAATTTATATCACACGTAAAAACGGGCTAAACGCCTGCCGGCATATGAATCTAAGAACTACCAAAAATTCTGTCCATTTGCGAAAGAAGCATAAATCACGCTTTAATGACATTCTATGAGAGATGGGAGGCGAAATTCGAAGATGAAAACAAGAAAAAATAGTAAGCCGGCGACAAGGCAAACCGCAGGTGTTGCGCAAAATATGGTGCGAAAATAAAAGCCGCAGTCATATTTTAAACGTACTTTGCAGCTACGACCCAATTATAAGCCGTCTAGATAACATAAATGGTCAGTGATTTTTCAAAGACCTATATTTAAACCGCGCACACGAATCTGAACAGTCCGCTCGATGAGTCTTAATCACCAGACCACAATGTTAGGCAAACAACCAACTTTGAAATGGGCTTTGCGTTATGCGTAGTTGCACAGATAGTAAAAGTTATGGTTAAACCACAAATATGTGGAATTTTGCTAATTGAAAAGAGCACGTTGGTGCTATGCTAATGGTAATTTGTGACTTCACATTGCATTTTTGGCCGTAAGTATCGAAGAAACTAAATAACATGTGTACGAAATCGTCTGCAACAGAATGATTTACATCTTTTTTACAGATTCGTATACAGAAATAGCGATTAAAACCTGTTGAGATCGAAACCGCAGCTATTTGAGCTTAATGCATGAATTTCGGAGTGAACTAAGGAACCAAACCTGAGCTTTGTCCGAATGCCAGCTTACGGATACAATGTCAAGTTGGTGTAAGAGCTGCCTGCCTACTCATTTGCATTTTAACCTCGGATTTCAATAGGGGGTATGTTGCAGATGATTTATTTGGCATTTTTAAAGGAAGAATGGGAATTGGGATGTAGATGAGCCGAATAGGAGATATCGACTAATGAGAGACTCCCCACTGTCTTCTAGCAGAGGATTCGCGCTCCCAATTGGTTTCCGTCTCTCTCCTCACCACATATTGTTTCGTCACACAAACTAAGCGTTACAGTGCCTTTCTGTTCTTTTGAGCGACATCTTTAGCACTTCCCTTAGTTCATTACCACAACCAACCATCGCAACACATTTTCTACTGCAAGAAAGCATCCACGAGCTAGCCGTGTTAATCAGCAGCAACTTCAATTGGACCTAGGTTGCGGTCCGGTCTGACAGTAAGGTTCGGAGTCGCAGACATCTGTCGACCATCAACTGCTTCCAGGACTAGACGGCGAAACTATAGTTTAAATCGTTTTTTAAAATTAAACAGAATCAGACACTCTTTTGGGAATAAAATGATCGAAAGTGTCATTTCCGACGCCTAAACACGTTATTTGAGGAGATTCCGGTACGAAACTTCTACAAATGGTTCAAGATAATATCGCTTCACTTGTTAATAAATTATCTGTGGAACATGGAAACAAGGTAAAGTCCAAAGCAGACATCAGTTCTAAATTTTTGGTGTGAAAAACTCAAATGTTTTCTAGCCACAGCTGTAAATGTGGCTCCTCTACACAGTAGGTACTTTCAACAAACCGTACGTTCTAGGAGAGGAGAGGGGTTCGCTTTCTACTGCCACCAGTGTAGCGTCCCGAGACTTCCCACAGGATAGAAGAAGCAGTAAGTAGAGAACAATATTGTCACAACTGAGCTTGTTCCGATGACCGACCCATACGTACAAGGGCCAGACAAATTTTAAGGTAACCATCATACATCCGACGCTCGCATTAACATTAGTATTACAAGACCAACCATAGTCGGGTCATCTGAGTTTAAAGCCAAAATAATTTTCTAGTTTGCCGAACATTCAACTGATAGGCTTCGGTGGTCGTTCTACTTCTCGTAAGTGGCCATACGAAAAGGCTCATTTACAAAGTTTTATTAAATAGCCTAATGCACGGGTGAAAGTATAATGCCTTCTATAACCAAATGGGCGAACTTGGAAAGCTTAAACAATGGTTGTACTTTTCCGAGACTTTTCATCTAGTAGGAGCAAATATTAGGTTGGATACAAACGTGTAGTGTAAGGAGAGCAGAAAGAATTGGAACTTTTCATGACCCTACAACCAGTCAACGCATACGAATCCAAACAAATCTTAAAGGAACCGTAATACATCAGGTGATAAAGGAGCAAAAAAAATTACAGTAGTGGGTAGAGGAAAATACAACTCTGCGATAATTCTAGCTCAATATTTTCCTTGAGCATACATCTGCGGTACATTTTTAAAAGCCAAATTTTTTTGATACTGAATGACGGCAAAGGCGGCTGGGATAAAGGTTATTAACATTCTATGTTTCATTGTCAGGATACTAGAGATGAATGAGCAGCTTAAGTTGCAATGCCCTGCCTACATGACCACTTGGTGTTAGGCTTTTACTTTGGGATTAGACTAGATTTGCATGCGCGGGCTGACCTTAGAAATAAGGCAAGGCATAAACCCTTCTCCATCTAGAATACATGTAGCCAGCCCAAAGTCCTGCTTTCTCCTTTTTGGTCCGTATCTACAAGACCTGCATTAAACATGCAAAATGGGATTGGTGCAGGCTTTTGATATCCTGTATTCTAACAAATGTAGGTCAAAATTTCATTAAGTTCATGGCGGAAAAATTTATCCCCAGTACGCACGATGATTAGCAAAAATTTCATTTATTACTACTGGTTGATGTACATGACCTAATTAGTATTTGAGGCTTTGAACTGTTTATTAAATGGCAATGTCACCAGATGATTTATGTTTATGAGGTATCAAAAGTGTAATAAGAGCAGCTTTGACTGTGCGTTAAACGTGTCTAAGTTGTGGAATTGCTTTATGGCTCTTCCTTCTTATGCCAATAACAATTAAAGAGGAAGGAAAACGTGAAAAAACTTCGCTTATTTCGCTAAATCAAATAAATTTACAAAAATTCTTTGTTTTATAATGCAAAATTTTTAGGCTTTGCAGTTTGATCTTGTTATCCTTATCACTGCAACTTGTTTTAATCATTTTGTACCTTAGGGCATGTATACAAAGCCTTGCGGCTGTTTCGGGTCTTGAGCTTCCCTGCCGTTGCTATTCTATTTTGAAGGACTGTACATACCACATCAGATGAACTTTATTTTGTAAGACCTTTTTATCGCTTGTCTAATTGTATGGTTTCATGCATGTTTCTTGTACTCTGAAGTTGCGCCCAAAGTATACTTGGTGTGTAGAAGTTTTTCATTTACATCCAACTACTAGTCTATGAGTTTCTCACTCCTTGTAAGAACTTTGTCTTAGAATAAATGACGAAGTTGCAAGGCTTGATGATGGAACTTGTTATTTATTAATACTTTTGCCTTACCCATACTCAAATGCCTCGAAATGATTCTCATCCTTTTTCTTCAGATTCGTTTTTGCGTTTATGTACCTGCAACCAGTATTATATTTTTTAGCACATGGTAATATACTAGCCACATGAAAAGACGTTTCTGGTGTGTCGTGAACCCATTTGATGTGAAGGAAACATCTCGAAGATGGTAGTTTTGCCTTATCTTCCGCCGAATTTGTGTAATACATCTGTTCCTGTCACCTGACTGGCCTCTGTTTATTCCTAACCCACCATCTACTTAACTCGTAACCCCTTTTTTACCTCTGCCGATACATCGTTGTGTGGGTTAGTTGGGCGCGACTTGAGTTTGCAAGTCTTTCTTTCCACTACTCGCACACTTGCACGTGTGGCTTGCGGTGCTGTTAGTCCCTTACATTTTTTATTCATTTTCCTACCTTTCAATGCTTTTTTTCATAGCAATCGTGCAGGTTCTCGTACCTTCCGTCAAAAGAAAAATAGCGGGGGTGAGTGTAGCAGAAATGGTGGTGCTGCCCCACTTGGTTCGACCGTTGTTAGTGGTGGTGGTAGTGTGACGACTAATGCCAACGGAGTCTGTATTCTGCCACCAGAAGCAGCAGGCACTCTTGGAAGTGGTGATCTCAAACAAGCTGTCCGTCTACCTACAGGAGAGGATCTCTGTGAATGGGTAGCCGTCAACAGTGAGTTGCTGTGCTCATATTATCCTCTTCTTTGTGTCCACATATTTACATCTGTAGGTGTTCCTTTTAGCTGTGGAGTTCTTCCAGCAGATAAATATGTTGTACGGCACGTTAGCGGAGTTCTGCACGGACGCGACGTGCCCCATCATGTCTGCGGGCCCGCGATATGAGTACTACTGGGCAGACGGACAAACTGTAAAGAAACCCGTTAAATGCTCGGCTCCTCGGTACATCAACAACTTAATGACATGGACTCAGAACCAGCTGGAAAATGAGGCGATTTTTCCTTCGAAAATTGGTGCGTCTTTGGTGAATTTCGCATACCAATTAATTAATTTTTTTGTGAATCCTTACCAATTACTTCTATGAAAGTAGTACTCCTTTTAACGTCACTTATCGAAAATGCGGACTTTCTGTTACTGTCGTTGGCATTTTTCGTGAAATTATTTTCACGATTCCATGTTTGTAACAATTTCGAAGTCTCCTGCACTCATACCCTTATTTTAGAGTCGAGTGTAGTACCCTACTCCCTTGTCTCAGACACCGTTCCGCTATAAAATGGGTCACTCTTCTAACGGTACAAAATTTGTTAGGGTTGGTTACCGAAATCATTTTTTGGTTGTTAATCGGGTGAGTGGTGGGAAATAAGGGTGACTTCGTTTCTTCCAATCGCTAAATTGGACCTGCGATGATTGGATGTATCTAAGCTTGTAAACTTGTTGAAAGTAGTTTTGTTTAAGGAATGGATCCACCTTTGCTAAATTAGGCCTCTTAGAACTTTTCCCAAAACACAGTTTTCACACTCTGCTTGTCAACCGATTAAATATGTTTTATGGGTTTGTGGTGGCAGAGGTTGCACCAAAATCGCAGTATAAGCCAATTGATTGTTTTCAAAGCAAAGTCATGCATGTGGCATGATGTTGAGGAGAGGAAAGTTACCGTCTCTTAGTTTAATTAGATAGATTTGGTGGAGCAGTTTACTTTCCCCTGCGACATGTCGCAATGATCATTGTAAGAGTAATTAATACACCTTAACCGCAATGGTAAATCTTAATTCTTTTATGTGATCACGCCAGTCCTATGCGCCGGGAATTGTGTTATCTGAGTGAAGTCGGTCCTGCTATTGATAACTGGTGTATGAATAGAGAATGCTTAAAAAAGGAGCTGCAGAAACAAAACAATTCACGCATCGTTTTAGAGTGTCTAAAGACAGCAAAATATGAACATATGCACTTGGTAAATTTTGGCCATCATGAAGGGTAGTGTCCATCTTTTCCCTAAAAAATTAACTCATAACCGCGCAAAAATGAGAATGGTCGAGAAGATGGACAGCGGCCCTCCACCCATCCAAGTTGACAGTTAGACCGTCAACAAGTCGGTGCAGGCTTTAGTCTGGCTCGTGTTGTTTCGTATCGCAATCGAGGTGATGCAACACAAAGTGTCCATGGGCGTCGCCATGGTCGGTGTGGCGTCACGTGATTGATCGACCAGTCGGCCGAATGGGGATCAGGTGACTGTTGATTGGGTGTTGAGTGGAGGGCGGATTTGCCACTGTTGGTGGCAGTGGAGGTGGCGGTGACGATGTCCTGACAGACAAGGCGATTGGTGTGGTCTTGACGTTGTCTTTGTTGCTCTCCATTGAGGAGGGGAGAAGGAGGCGCGGAGTATGGGCCATCTGACTAGTGATTGTGACGAAAACCACAGTCCAGATGGTGGAGGAGGCAATCAAGTCACGATCACCGATTCTGTCATTGTGTACGAAACAGAGTGAGGATAGCTGATGTCCCCGACAGACGTGTATGCATGACATGGAGGTGAGAGATGATTGAGTGAGGAGCAAATCTCCTCTTCACAGTCGGTGACTGCTGTCGTGCAAATCGAATGTCTGCACTCAGTGTCACTTTCATGGTTTGCTTGTGACCAGGTTGGTACCGCCAGGAGTAGTGTGGTGGTGTGGCATTGGTGTGTGGATCTGTGCATCCTGCATGCATGAACACCAGAGTAG